CAAGGAAAGCCAACATTTTGGCCCTAACCTTCTAAGGTCAATTAAGACTCAGGACATATGAGAACTTGTACTGTAACGTCATGTACCTTGGTAGTGTCTGAAATTTTCTGATGAAGAAGATTATGGGGCAAAAGAGGAAAGTGATCCATGATATAGAGTGTGCATAAGGAGAGTCACATGGAGAGAAAACACTCTCTCAGGCTTTCACAGAAAGCACATTGGCCAAGCAATGGCTGTGCCTCATCCAGATGGCTGACACTGACAAAGGTTCTACAATCTGAGGTACAGGATCTCAGGATAAATCCTGAGGACATTTCACTGACCTTCTCAGGCCCAAAAGCTACAACTCTTGTTGCTTAGGTCCTGCTTTACCTTGGTCTTAACCATCCAGTGGAAAAGTATGAAGACGAAATATAGGAAATAAAGCCATGATATTATGTTGAGCTGTGGGGAACTGAGGTCAATAATTTCTGACATTGCCAGTTAAGCAGAAGACCCAATGCTATTATGGCCTCTGGACTCTTTTAGAATATTTTGCTGAGTTTACACAACTAAAATATTCCAATAATGGAACTTAGAAAAAAAGGGGATAGAGATGAATGTCCATTTTGTATCTGTGTATGCAAAGTAGATGGGATAGATATATAGTTACATTCTGTTAATAAATAGAATGATTTGTTCTAATGGTGTTTGTAAATAGGATATCAAGTCCACATCTTGTACAGTAATTAACCGCTAAGAAGAATGTATGCATTGGGTTTATTATTGAAACTGTCTTAGCGATTTGATTTGAAACTGTCTCATTGTTATCTGTTTATCATTAAAATTATGAAAAAAATAACCTGATAAATGAAGGGACAGCTTTATAATTAGTGTCCTATGCAAGATATTTTGCACTTTGTGGATGAATGTACTGAGTATAATCTTGAGTGAGAATCTGACCACAAGGCACTTTCCTACCTGTGTCATTGGAGATCTCATTTTCTGCACAAAGGATGCAATCGAAACAGCAGGCAGCCTTTCCCTCTTGAGGGCTCTTTCTGTATCCAGGATTGCACCTCTCACTGCAGACTGATCGGGGAGCCTAGGGAAAAAAAATATGGTGGTAACTTCTTAGGCTTTTACTTACTTATCCAGAGCTAGAAGGATAAATTTAATTTTCATATGTACACAAATAAAACTGCCTAGTTAAACACCAAATTTATTTCATATGTTGAAACATGTATCTTCAAAGCTTCAGTTGTTAATGTGTGTCTTTCTCATTCATTAGAAAAATTGGAAAGCCAAATTTTTTCAAGTTGAAAATTGAGTCGCTCAATTTCCAAATGAGCAAAATTTGGACATTTCAGGAGCAAAATCTGAGGCACAAATTCTGTAATAATATGTAGCTTCTTTGTGATTAAGGAAATATGCCATGTTTAGGTCCAACACACCTCTGTGATTCCTGTAGACCACTCTATCATATCTTCAGATAAAGCGAGCTGTTGGCCACGTGGAGCATAATAGGAAAATGAGCCTAGCTTAACCTTAAGTCTAAGGCCTTCTGGAAAATTCCAAAAATTGATAATATCATACTCTGAATCCAGTTTTCTTGTGTCATCCAAGTTCACTTGATCTCCAGCAGTATTGGTAAACTGGACATTCTTTAGAAAAGGATGCAGCTACAAAACAGGTTAGGAGGGCAGTTACAATCATTAATACATTGCAAATTGTGGTCTCCATAGTAGTTTTCACAGTTCTTTTCCTCTTATTCAGGAGACAAGATGCAGACATGATATTTTGTCTAAACAATATTAGTACAAACCTTTCTTCTCATTGAACTGAGAAAGAAACTGTATATCTATCCTAACTCTCTTATGTGTATATATACATATATATATATATATGTATACATATATATACATTTTTTCACAATAAAATGGTACTGTATTTATATTTTTGCAAAGTTAGCAACACGTGACACAAGGTTGCCTAGTGACTAATAGCTGACCTTAACCATACAGGATGTTCATCTCAGGACTGAGGTAGCTTGTTTGCTTTAGGCACTGAGGCCTATTTTATCTTTTTTCTAATTAAAATGAGTAAAATAAACAGGTAATTAAAAGCAACAAAAAAAGAAAAGTGTGCAGCTAAAAGAAACACATCACCGTATGTGAGCAGGGCTCCAGCAGAAAGACAGAAAATATGAGTGGGAGTAAGTTTCTAAACGCTTTGATCCCATTTACCTAAAGCAATTTATTTATTTATCTATTATTTATTTATTTATTTTTTGTTTATTTATTTATTTATTTTATTTTAGGAAAAGGTCTACAGGGTGTTCAGGGTCTTACTATTAGATTGGACTCAGTGAGCTGCCTGTTTACAGCCTCCCAAGAGCTGGGATTATAGACGCACGCCACCATACTCAGTCTAAATCTCTTATGGGGCACGGCCAGCACTGTAGGCCTGGGGATCGAACCTCTGGCCCCTTTGTCTGCTTTCAGGCTCTTTAATCCACTGAGCTATTTGGCTGGCCCTACTTAAATTAACTTGAACACTGGTATCTAGTGAATTAGAACACATGCATGTCTGTAATGTCTAAGGACTAAAATGTCATCATGTTCCAGAAATGTCAGTCTGTTTCTGGAAAAAAAATTCTTTGCCAGCCCATTTAAATAAATTATACAGTTGTGTTAGCCAAAAACATCAAATGTGGAACCAAAGCTTCTAATGCCCATGTTCATTGTGCTTCTGAGTATTTCCGCAGCATCTACCAAGAGGATGAGTTCATTAATATACAGAATTAAAAAGAGAATGCCTAAAATATGTACATTGTATATGTTTCAATGCCATTTAGTTACACAAGTCACTACATCTTTTCCTGTTGTGCCTTAAGAATGCCTGGAACCTATTTATGTGGGTGAGACATTGACCTCTTACAGACAGAAGCAAGGGGCTGGCCGCCTGTGACCTCTGCCTTGCTCGTGGCTCCTTGGTTGAGGATCATTTCAACTCAGCTCAAGAATGACCTCCTTAGCAATGAGTGTGATGCACAATGTGTAGTGCCTTGTGGAAATGGTTCTAATAGTCTTGGGTGAAGCACAAAGAATAACTTGAGAGAGGCACCGTGATGACACCATCTACCATCCAGCAGAAGACACATTACCTGCCAGGGGGAAAACATCATCACTTGTCTATTTCTCAATGGTGATCTTTGTACTTCTTCAAAAAGCATGGCCTGGAGGGCATGGCCCACTGCATGCACAGCATTGTATATATTGTAGCTCCTGTCACTCATGGCTGTGTCAAAACGATTCAGAGGCAACCAAGTCATAGAAGCGTTAGGTGGACAGTTCTTCAAGGCGCAGTCAGACTCAGAGAAGGAGCAATCAAAATTCTTGGACCAATATATAACGAGGTAAGTGTCCTCTGGGTACTTGAAAGGGGTAGCTGCCTGGACAAAATTTTTGAAACCTAAAATCTCTTCATGGTGGTGTGAAAAAACAAGAATCCCATGGAATGGGTCGAGTATGAAATCTCTCCCAGACAGGTCAGCATGCCACTGTGAGTTTGTCACCCAGACTTTCCACATCACTAACTGTTGCCATACGCTATAGTTCATATCGTTTTGACTGTCAGTATCATAGTAAATAACCACTACTTTGACAGATGATATTTCTGCAGTCAGGATATCACGGTTCTCTGTATACGAGACATAGGACACAGCCCCAGTGGACACCATTTTCACGAAGGCTGCACAGATTCTGTTCCTGTCCATCTCAGCTCTTATATCTGAGAGAAACTGAAGACTCTTATGACCTTCTGTGATGAGCAGGCCCACCCAGGTCCAGCGGAAATGAAGCATCAAGGACACCATGGCAAGGGCCAAATATGTGTCCTTTGGGGCCACCTGGTGGAGAGAAGGAAACTGGCCATTGTCCATCAGTGTAGGGTCAAATGAGCCAAAGGTGACCTAAAAGATACCAAAAAATTGAAATAAAATACTAAAGAATATCGGTGGGAAGCACAGTAGGTGACCTGAAGTGTAATTAGTAATAATTGGCAGTTGTACCAGGAGACAAATATTCTGACCTTGTCTCATGACCTCATTCCTTAAATACTTTTATAAAATGTAAATCACTGTACTCTGACACCCAGGACATATCTGCACTTTCTTCCTCCACTGAAGGAAAATGAATTGTGAATAAACACATAAGTATTTATGTACAGAATCTTGTGCATTATACACTTTGAAAGATGCTCATCCCAGCCCCATTTTAACCCCTTATGCTCCTGGGAGTTGAAGCTCCCTGGATGTGCTTCCCCCATTTCCTGTCCCATATCCCTCACCTGTGGAAATCTGTAGAGCTCCAGTAATGGTCCAATCTGAGCTGAGGTTCCCCCCAGCATTTCTGTCAGGACTGCTGAACACCTGCTCTCTGTCCCACACATGTAATTAGGGATCTCGTGTTGTCCTGTGAGCAAAATGAAGGAATTCTCTAGTATCCTCCAATGACTGTAGAGGAAATTATGGAACTCATAGCCCAGAGAGATGTTGGGTAAGAGATGAGGGTTCCTGTTGATCTCGTCTATGGCAAAGGCGAAGGCCAGGTAGTTCTGGTAGTTGCTGGGCATGAGTCTGCACAGAAAGCACAGAGGTCCTTAGGGGAAGGGCTCAATCAGTGGTCATATTCTGTCCAGTCCAGTAGCATTTATGACCTGCATACCTGAATGCTTGTGCCTCCCCCACACTCCTATCATTAGAACCTAAGCATGAAAGTGATGATGTTGGAAGTTTGATTTTTTTGAAGATAATTGCAATTAGGTGCATCATGGGGGTTGATTTCTCATGAAGATATTGGGGACTTACATTGAGTGGAGACAGAGCTGCTTTAATTTTTATGTTAGGACTGCTGACAAGACTGTCACTAAAGTCTTGTCACTAAGGACTAAGAAGAAGATTCTCTTTTGATTTTTCTCAGTCTGTGCTACTAGGAAAGGTAAATGATTGCTGAATGGTCCATCCAGTTTTTGTCAGTTTTAACGCAGTGGGTTGAGAAAAGCAAATTTATAATGAAGGATAAACCATTAGTAAATTTAATTTATCTTTGGAACAACCGACTTCCATGAAGTGTTAGAATTTATAGTTGATACAACTGAATTAACTTTGCCTTTTGAAGGATATTTTATGCCTCCACATATAGAGAGGTAAATTTATTTATTTGTTTATTTATTTATTTATTTA